GAACCACTAACATATATATATATATATAAGCGTGGAGGTAGCAAATTCGAATCTAGCTGTTACCCTGAATGTATCTTCGTGCTATCCTTCTCTGTATTGTGCTATCTGTCCTTCTATTGACAAAGGTTTATAAGCCTAAATTGAGCACAGAGGCAAGTAAATGTATGTAATTCCAATAAATAAAGCAATATTCTTTAAACAATAAATAGCTAAAGTATACCTCACTTGGTATTGTCCTGTATGACTGAAAGTTATATTTAAAAAATTTTGTTCCAGAAAGAATTTAAAAATTAATGTTATTACCACTAGAAAAGACTTGCCAAAAGAGGGAAGCAAGATGACAACTCAGCTAATTTGTAGAATTTTTTCTGAAAGCACAGCAGTTTGCATTCCAGCACTAAAAAATCATCTTAATCCAATACAGCCGGGGCACTGACTGTGCTCCATATATGAAAAACACTTACGTAACGAAAAGTGATAGTACACATTTTTTTCTATTATGTACTATGTCAGCTATAAAAAATAGCATGGAGTTCAGACTTGAAACCGAAATGCAAACATTTATATTATTAATGTATTGTGGAAGACAGTTTGATCTTGCTTCTCCAAATTAAATCCTAATAAAAAAAACGCTTGTGTTACCGTTTAAAAAAAACGGAACAGTTATTTTACAAAGGATACTAGATACATGCAAAAATGCAAACTTCTCTGTTTTGCGCAAACAATGAGATGAAGTGGTAGATATTTAAAAACTAAAACTTGTTATTTAGTTACATTGACATCATTTAGTTACATCTTACATTGACATCAGCTTATCTTGATACCCTGGAATCTTGTTTTATTCAGATGGAAGCTGATTCCCTTGTTGACGACATTAAGTCCTTGTCACTTTTCCATATAGCGTGGAAATGCATTTTACTCTGTTTTGACCCTCTCAGACACAGTGATTTCTCTTGTTCTGTTATTTTAATTCGTATTCGACTTCAACCTTTGTCAAAAAGTAGGACAGACAGCACAATACTGAGAGGAACAGCACGAAGTTACATCCCAGGTAACAGCAGATTCGAATCTGCTATCTCTCCGCTTTGCACAGTGGTTGGCGAGTAATACCGCTCGGCCAGTGTAGTTCTCATGATGAATAGAACAAATTGGTGTTGTATATAAATTTCTAAATTATTCTTGTGTAGTGGAGGACAAAATTATACTTCAATTCAAATTTAGTAAAGCATTAAAAATCTAGAATAAACATTTTACAACCACTAAAAAAAAAATTTTTTTTTCAAAGCAGAGCAAGTTGGCAACTCTACACTTGTTGGTTAACCTTTTGACGGTCAGGGAAATGAGCAGGTTTCGTTTCATTAATTCGCGCATTATTACGTGCAAACAGTAGTCGAAAGTGGCAGCTGTTTTCCACAGAAATTCCTCCGAAAATGTCACCCTTCTCTGGTGATGCCAACTGCTCCGTCTTCTGGAATTGTTATAATAAAGTGGTAGCAAACTATGTAGTAAATTTCGTTGGAGAAAGACAGTTACGCCTACTTTTTACTAGAGTAACCAGTAGATTGTTGCTTCAACGTTGCATTTTATATGTTACTTATAGTTTTTGATATTTAGTGGTGAAAAAATTACTTAAAAGGAAAAATACTAAACTGAAAGTAACTTGACTTTCGCTATCACTAGGAAATACTATTTTACAAAGCGGAGCAAGTTGGCATCTCTGGATGCGGTAGATAGCTCGTCTCACACGTTTTAAAAATGTCTTCAAGTATTCGTAGTACATAAATAACAGTTTTTACTTACTTTTCGCTTTTAACATAGTCAATGCAGAATAATAATGGCGAAAAAGCTCATCTCGTCAGCACGCATTGGGGAAAAAGTTCACTACGCGAGTAGTGCTCGTTACTAACCATTACGGTCAAAATCTTGCTCCCGAGCGGAACTCGTTTGCGCGCATTATGAGGCACGATTCGATTGCGAGCTGAACTCGTTCATAACCGTCAAAGGGTTAAAATATGAAAATTCCTATTAGCATTAACGGGAATATACTAGTGACTATATAACGGCTGATGTTCATCATGTTAGTCATTTAGTCAACCAAATAATTTCTCTTTACCAACTAGTCAAAAAATTCTGGAGCAACGCCAAATACTACTACCCATTTTCATAAAGAAAAACCACAAACATTTTATCATATAAAGAAAAACCACAAACATTTTATCATATAAAAAAAATCACAAGCATTTTATCATATAAAGAAGAACCACAAACATTTTATCACATAAAGAAAAATCACAAACATTAAATCCATCGGCTTTAATACTTTATATAATAATATTTTACATCAAAATTAATGTTACATATACCCCCAAAGAAATATCTGAGAGTTATAGGACAATAAAGGCAATATTTCATTATACGTTAAACTGTTTTGTTTTTTATTTTATCTCTTGTGAAATGTAATTAATTTATCTTGAAATTTTAATTTCATTATTCTCTTTCAATTTTTTCAGACGTTCCAGTTACATTGTGGCAACGAAGCTGGTTTGGGGTAGCAAGTAAGCTCATTATGTAGTACATTTATTTACACAAAACGTTTGAATTGTAATCGTTGACGTCACGTCACCATGGTGACAAAAAGTAAAAGCCGCCATCAGAACGAGAAGTCAGCATGCATATATATATATTGTTATTCTTTCTCTTTTGTTCAAAAATTCTTTGATATTGCCACCCGAAACGAGATTCCCCGTTGAGTTGACGGTTACGAATAATTGATAGCTTGCCTTATTTCTCTTGTATTCAAATGAATATTAAAAAGCCACCACTGAAAGTGAAACCTGGCATCAGTAATAGGCACTTTTTATTCTACTTTTAGAACAGTATAAATAATAAATAGAATGCTGAAACATTTATTAATATGAAGAAAGAATTGTTCTTCAAGAAATATATATGAGCATCATACTGGTTTTTAATTTCTGAGGAGAGTTCATTCCATATATCTTTTTGTCGTAAAGATTGAAACTTTAATGTGTTGCATAAAATATAAATCGCCTGCAAAAATACAATAAGAAGTTATAAATAAATTGCTACTTTAATAGCATTTTCGTATGCATTTCAATGCTCGTTAATATCGGAATTTGAGCCGTAGTGCCTCAGGGGATAGAGCATTCGCCTTCTATTGAGGTGAGCCAGGTTCGAATTCCAGTGATTTCTGGTCAATACGAATTTTCCACACCTAGCTCGCACTTATCACAATGCTGGCATAATTATCCTCTGTTGTAGGTGGATCATGGGTTAAAGTCCCCTTTCCGTCAGGCTAACCGTGTGAGGTTTTCGTAGTTTTCCTATCCACGTAACGCAAATGCGAGTTAATTCCATCAAAGCGTTCACTACTAAAACAAATTTCTCCCAGTATTTGATCTAGGAATTCCCTTGTTTTCTGGATCGGGTTCAAAATTACAAGGCTTCAAAGTTGAACATTAGTAGTCGTAAACCCAAAAATATTGGGTCAGCTGTTCAACGACGGTTATAAAATTTAAAAAAATATCGGAACTATAGGCCGGGATGGCCTAGTTAGTCGGACGTTGGGCTTGTGAAAACGTGAGTTTCAGTCCCATCGGCCGAAGAATCCCCGTGTATTAAATGGTGACTGGTGCGGGTTAAATCAGTTGGGGTCACTAAATCCTCCGAATTCCCATAGCAAATCAATACCTTTGAGGGGTACTGGATTGGAGATTGATCATTCTCCAGTTCAGGTCAAAATTAAGATCTGTGGATGAATGAATGGAGTATGATGGAATCCTCCCTGTTAAACGGGCTGTGACGTGTGTGTGGCTGAAGTCGTATTCTTGGCCATACTTGGACTCAAACTCCGCCTTAAAACTTTGCTTGATTTCAAGCAGACTTGCAAAATGGCGTAAGGAACAACAACAGAAAGAACTATTAATAATATGTAATATTAAGATAGAAATAATTATAATATGAAAGAAAGATAGAAATATTTTTTAAAATATATATATGAGAATAATTCCCGTTTTAATTTCATTGAGAACCCATTCATATATTTGTCGCTAAGACTGAATCTGTAATACATTATACAAAAGTACATAACTCTCTTTCAAATTCTATTAAAAAAGTTAAAAATTTATAACAACTTTAATAGCATTTTTACATGCATTTTAGTTCTTGATAATATATTGTTGTATCATCATTTTATTTTTCAAATTAAAAACATTTTTAACATATTTTACATAAAATAAAAAACATTTCTCTTTTTCCATGTCGAACTCAAGAAACCATAAATAAGAGGGGGGTTTTTTTAAGTGTAATTTAAGAAATCTGATTTTACTCGAATTCATCTGAGAAACGAAATAAGACGAAAACTTGTACCTGACACGGTTAACACATTTTTCAACTCTAACGGCTTTTTCATGTTGGCCTCGAATACTGATCATATAGAAAAACAAATAGAATCAGGATATATTTCAGTTATCGAACTATTATGGTGATCAGAATGTTTCATGTTTTTTAAAAACATGAAATACATTTTATGACAAATATTTGTTTACCACTACGACAATTTTGAGAGAACACGTGAGAATAGAAAAATACAAATAAGGCCGGGATTTGTTTGAATTATCGAATTATTGAGGTGATCAGAATGTTTCATTATAAATTTTTAAAAACATAAAATGCATTTTATGACAAATATTTGTATACCACTACGACAATTTTGAGAGAACACGTGAGAATAAAAAAATACAAATAAGGCCAGGATTTGTTTGAATTATCGAATTATTGAGGTGATCAGAATGTTTCATTATAAATTTTTAAAAACATGAAATACATTTTATGACAAATATTTACAAACCACTATAATAAGTGATTTCCATCAGGTATTACTTGGTAAATATACAAATCATGAGTTTTGTCTTCTAAACTTTTAGCGGTAGCGCCGTTTTTTTATCGCTGCAAAAGGTTAGAACCTATGCATGTCGATAATGGGATGTTAACGCAGAAAAGAGTCGGTTGAAAACAAGCAACGGAAGGTAGAGTGGAGAAACACTTGATCTAATGACCTGAATAACTTTTAATCTAATGATGGGATTTTAATGTTCTAGGACTGAATGGCACAGACAAAATTAAACTTTTTTAAAAATTTGATTTCTCAGGAACTATACAACCGAATTCGCTCAAATTTTTTTTTCTCTTTTCAAACAAAATTATAAGAAATAGTAAACATTTACTAAAAGCTATATTTTGTATGGAATTTTCTTTGGACAAACGAATTTTATAATTGCGTGCAAAATTTTTTAATTCACTTAAGAAGTTCTCGAGATATGGTGAAATATGCGAAAAGTAAAATTAACATTAAAGGACCTAAACTTTGGACTGCTCTCTTGGTCAAACTATTGGCTCCATGTTTCCCAGAGTGTGACTAACCCCTATATTTTTAGGGTCAGAAATCCGAATCCTGAAGGAAAAAAAAGGTAAGTTTTTTCAGAGAAGTACGTTTTTGAATCTGGTTCCGTAACTTAAAAATATCGTCTGCATTGATTAATTATCATATTTGAGGTCACCCCCTCGAACCATTAATATTGAGTCGCAGAACATGAAGATCCGATCCTTATATCAAAAGTTATTTAGAATGGTCCATTTTTTATTTTGCGCACTGTTCATCCTTTAACCTCAAAAATAGACAAAAAATGTTCAAAGTTCATTGTTCAATAAGGTTATGAACTATTCTAGAGCTTTTCAACGATTTGAACATCTCTTATAAATGAACGGTTTATCTCTAATCATATAGTTTCACAATGGAAGAGATACCTAAACGTGTGTAAAAAATACTAACGAATTCACCTAATTTGAATACCGAATTCCATTCTGAAAATTAAGGGAAAAACGTCTGTCTGATTATTGATTGACTGTACTTAAAATAAATAGAATTTCGGCTGTTTATTTTTTATTATAAAAATAACAAACAGAATTAATTTTTCACTTAGTTCATGATTTCTCTAAAAGCATTTTAAATCTTTTATAGGTTGGACTCAGACAGAGGACTTTCAAGAAAGTTTATTTTAGAAGGTAAGTTAAATTTGGTTCAAAGGTTCTAAAACTTTTTCAGTCATTGAGAACTTTTAAAAGAAGGAAATTGTACGCGGAGCATTATGTTCTATAGTTTCATTTAATTTAATTCATGAAATATAGAAACTTGCTGTATTTTTCAAAATTGAGCGATTAAATAGCATTGAGGATGCACTGTCATTTAAAGAGGTCACAGTTTGAAAATATATTATTTTTCGACTAATTTCTCATTATTGTAGACCAACAAGTAGTTGTTTTAGTATTTTGACTCTATTACATTTATTATAAAATTTTGCTTGGTTTCGTTAATACTCTCGATGTGTAACTTTTATATCAAAATAGTTTTAAAAATTAAGTATTTTTTTATTACATATTTCAAATCAACATATATTTTAGAGTTAAAAGAAGGCTGGGATAGCCTCGTTCGCAGTGCGTTGGGCCCTTTTCCAAGAGGTCGTGGGTTTGATCCCCGCAAGCTGAGGATTCTCCGTAAATCCTTTGGGTCACAAAGTCCTCCATGTTCCCATAACAAATCATACCTCTGTCTTTATCTCACTAAAAGTATTACACCGAGCGTTAAGAAACAAGCACTGAACCATTAAGTACAATCATCCCACTGACATAATTACTTGAATGTTCAGTTGATACTACTTTTTAGTGTAAAAAAAATTTTTTTGCGTGCTTTTTTAATTATCTGATTAAGAGGTCACAGTACCCTTGCAACATTTTTTTAAAAATAAAGGTATAATCATTCATTTTGTGGATGTTTTACATGCTCATTTAACTTATAATCAATAATTTATCTTCAAGAAATAGTTAAATTGTTTAATTTTCAAAAAATTTTAAAAAAAAATTTAAAAAATCTTTAAGGTTTTTAAATCTTTAAGGCTTTTTTTATTTTAACACATTTTCAAAGATTCCTTTTTTCTTGGTGCTTACAATATTGATCTTAACAATTTTGTGCATTCATTTGTTGATATATCAATTAAAGCATTTTTTGTAGATTATTTTTAAAAAAGTAGAAAAAAAAGGTCAAAAATTCCAGTTAGGTATATATAACATGCTGTAAAAATTGAATACTTCATAAAATTCTTATTCAATGCACAGTTTAAATAAATGTATTATACTTAAAATTAAAAAAAATTTACTTCAAAGTTTTATCTTAAATAGAAAAAATTCCTTAGGGATTTAATTAAGATTAAAACACAAAATTATCATCTATGAGAAAAGCACTTTAAAGTCTATCTGCTGATCAAGTATCTGTTTTACGGCAATCTAAAATCCTTCATGACTTTTTTAAAAATGTAGATAGGGAGATGACTTTTTTTCCAGTGCATTTGAAATAGTATGAAGTTTTATTATAAGCAATACAAAAATATCGACAATTTGGTCATTTCTTGGGAACCCCTTAAGAATAAATTATTCTTTATGAGCATTGGTTTTTTGTTGTATTTTTTTCATTACCGTATTTATTTTGATTATAACAAATAGACTGCGATTACCTGTCGTGAGAAAAGTATCGAGTTAATGTATACATTATTTTTTTAAAAAAACCAAACAAATTTAACGAGTAAAAAATGCTTAAAAATTTTGCCTCTTCTAATTCAGCACACCTCCCCCTTCCCCATGCTCACACTCATGATTTTCACAAACGGGGACGTTGAAATGCTTTTTGCTCCTTAAGAGGGAGGCAATGTTAAAAAGGTTGAGAATCTATGCTCTAGACAATGTTCACCATAAACAGCTAATATTCGACTATAAATGTCCGCATTGTTCTCACCTTGTTCTCACCACCCCTAAACAATTGTTCTATTGCTTTTTTTTTTTTGCTTTCTAAACGCATCCATCTTAACACAACTTTATATTCACTGAAAATACTCTCATGCTGAGTGGTTAATCAATTATTCGGAATCTGCATTGCACTTCTCTTAGTAGGTGACGCTGCAATAGCTACTGACACTATAAAGTCTGTCTACTTTTTGTTAGGGTGTCCATATTCATAATTGTCTGAGGGCAAAGTAAATTAAGTCTAATAATATACCTTTAATTCTAGTATGCCTTTTAAATTTCTTATTACTTTTTAATCCGCCGTTTAAAGCTGTTCATGTGCAAAGAGTTTAAAATTCCAAAATCTTTGAGTCTGAAATTTTTACACACACTATTTCCATGGATACGCTTTGCTGCACAGCTACAAACTAGTGTACGTACGCCCCCTCGGACAAGACAACTCTTAGCACTATAAACACTTCTGAATACTATATCTTGGAACACTCTAATTTATTACGTTATCTAACTACTTATAAAAACGTACTCTCTATACCATGAATTTTTAACACAATTATTTACAATTTGAATTCACAACTTCTAGAAACGTCTTTTTAAATTGCAAATAAGGTAGATAAATAATGCTTCAACCAATTTTTTTACTTTGTTAAAACTCTTGTTTTAAAATAAACCAATCTGAAAAAAAATATATGTTCCAATCCTATCAATTTCTTATAAACTAAAGTTTTACACAAATATTGGAAGACCTAATAAAAAAAATTTATTTCGTAGAAAGCTTCTATTGGTATTGTCTCATCTCGTTATAAAACTAGTAAATGGCATCTAGTAAAGAGTGGAAATGGGGCTGTTAATTTTGAATGTCATCCTTTATTCGTCAATGATGTTTACTTGCTTATACCTGTAATAAAAAAATATGCTTATTTGCGGGCTCTGTAATACTTAATTTTTTTTTATTATTTATACCACATTATCTGAATGATCGGCATAATCGTGGGAGCATAGGCTCATTACGTCACCAAATTAGTGCTCCTATAGTTATCTAAATCTACGTGTATATTTCCTTTAAAATTATATTTTTAAAATGTGTTACTATAAAACTAAATAATTTTAAATAAACGGTAATTGGATACTTCCAGCAAATCCCATGGTTGTGTCGAATCACGTGGTTTTTTAACGTTACAACTTTAAAGGCCTNAAAGTATTTTTTTGGCGTCAGCTCTACGTCAACTTTCCGCTGACTCCCAGATAAGGCGCTTATCCTAAGAAACCAGACCTTAAGGCCTGGTTATATTATCACGCTGATCCGTTTTACGAAGCAGATTTAATTCGATACCTGTAAGCAACGTCACGCGTGTGCGTCGAACCTGATTAGCTGACCCCTGCGAGATGTCGATTCCAGGCATCCAGTTGAAATAAAATCTATATATATTTCGTACTGAAAAACAAAATTAACAGAATATGGTACTAAATTGTTGAGAACAAACATTAAAAAAATTTCATTCTTATTATTGATGCCAATGATAATTAATTTTGATTATAGTTACTGATTGAAGTAAAGACTGAAAAGCAAAGTTAATTGAGAACGTTATGGAAACCGTAAACAGGCGTAATACTACTATTAACCCTGGGTGAAAGCTAGACGGAAATGCACAGATTTTTTGGGGGAAAAACCGCCCCCAAAAAAATAACTTTTTTTAATGTAAAAAAACATTTCAGAATGTCTTTTCTTTTGGTGGACAATTTTGATATACTGCGCTTTTGCTCCATGGAAAAAGGCTAGATAATATAGCCTTTATATATTATCTAGCCTTTCTTGATTTTATTCTTGAATAAATATGTATTATAGCTTACAATCCTATGTAAACGATGTTATTTTCAATTCTCGATTATATTCAAATGGAAAAAATTATAGCAACATAAAATACAACGCAACTCGAATTATCTCAAGTGTGCACTGTTTGGCCTGTTTAGCCCGCTCGAATCGAGCGCACAAGTTAAGGGGTTATTGTTTCTCGAAAATAATGGTAAAATGAAATGCCTTTCGTACCAGTTTTTGCTCTTTTCTGTCTTGGTACTTATATATATTTAGTAATTGGAGCAGCTTTAATAAATATATTGGTACAAAGTACTTTTATGCGTAAATTTGGTGCCTATTAAAGCTACACCAAAACTGTTCATTCCTATGATAGATAGTGCAGAAATTGTTTTTTTTATTGCCTCTTGAAGATATAAGTTGCTTGGTTGTGAAAAATTTAAAATATCCTTCCTCGAAACTCACAATTGTGTCAGATGATGCTGAATTAGGATAATCTATATATATAAAAGGCAAAGTCCTCATTCACTCATCACTGATACTTCCTCTTCCCATGAAGCTAGAAAGTTAAAATTTAGAGCATAGATACTTCAAGCGATAAATAGGAAAACTTAAAAAAATATTATTAATTATATATATATANTTACAACAAATAAAATAGAACACAATAAGTAAAAATAAGGAAAAATAACATGTAAAAACAGAAAATAAAATAAAAGAAAAAGAAAAATCAGTATAAAACATAGACTATAAAGCGAGTAGCGAAATCAGATGTACTTACATGGACGGGAAATTTTTCAAGAATGATTTAAAAATGTTTTCTCAACAAGATTGCCAGATTACAAAATATGAAAACAAAAGCGCAAAGTGAGTGTAAATAGAGGGTTTTAAAGTGCCGTTCTTACTGCACTGCTGAAGTGATTTGTTATTCTGTGCATTGATTTGTTAGTTATCAAGGATGCGCCCGAAATGGATATATAGAAATGGATATTAGAAATATAGAAATGAAACTTATTGTTTTTCTTAACTTTCTTCGTGTTTTCTTGTATTTATTATATATATATATATACATTAACAATATTAATATAATGAAATAACGATGTTTTGAAATTATTGGGATAATTGAGGGTAATTAGCCTAATTGACAGTAATGCTTCATGAAATATTCTGCCTAGACAAGAGTCTCAAATTTGTTCCATAGATAAAATTTGAGACAAATAGAAAAATTAAAAAGTTTCCTTTCGCTATTTTAGAATTGTAGCAGTAATTAGCTTAATTGGCAGTATTGCTAAATACTAGACTTTAAGTATCAATTTTGGAACAATTTACAGTAATGCTTCAACTTGATTCTACCAAAATAAGATATCTGAAAATTGGACCATGTGTTTCTTGTCAGATGTAAAGAAAAACTATAAACGTTTCATTTCAATGTTTTATTAACATCGGGGTAATTTGTATAATTTACCGTAAAGCTGAACAACCCGTTTTAACTTCATAAACTATGGGATAATAATAAAAAGTAAGATTTAGGTATTTTGCTATTATTGGGATGGTTAGCCTGAAAGATAATAATGCTAACTAACGCGTTTTTACCAAGACAGGCGAAAAGCTGTGAGTACGTGTAAATCGTTTAGCTGATCGCCGCTGGTGATTAGTTATCAACATAGAACATAACCTTATACCACATAATAGTTCGAATTGAAAACGGTTTTTATCTCTCTTCAGTGTTTTATATTTTTTAATTATATTATCAAATTTACACCTGACAACCTCTACTCTCTTTCCCTTTGATTTATTTATTTATTTAATTCTGTAACTTTTGATATCAAGTTAACCATGAGGGAAATCTCAAGGGAAGGAAATAAAATTTTCTACCGCACTGGATAAATAACCATTATTTAAAACACAAAAAGTGACAAAAAATTGCAAAAAGTAATAAAAATAGCAAATTACTATCAAACAAACAACTAGAATTTCAAAAAAGTCACATCAAATTCATTAATGAAAATAGCTCTTCCCACACGTCAAATTTTTTCTCCGTGGTTGCATTTCAGCGGGCTATAGATCCACCAAACATGATATTTCGTAATAAACGTTCGACAGTTAATAATTCTCGAACTAATAATCGAATGTTAATTAATTTTTGATTCTATCGAATTCCTTGTGTAATTTTCTTTACACCTTCGTAATTTCGAAATGAATATAGCGATTACAAACAGCTATAACTATTTAATGAATAAATAATTTATAGATCAGATTAACATAGAATGTAGATGGAACTTCAAAATTTCTTTACGTAAGGCGCAGACGTAGTGAAGCGAAATCCTGCGCATGCGCGAGTTCATTAATGAAAATGGCGAGTCCAGAAAGCATTGCAGAAAGCATTCTGCGTGTTAGAATTTAACAATTGTCAGTCTTTATCACAGTGGGGGAAGATTTTGTCAGCGTTACAATCAAGAACCTCGAAATGGGAACAGATGACATAGGATGTTTAAAGAAACGGGATGTTTGTGCAAATGGGAAAATAGCGCTTGCGTCAGTGGCTGCACAATTGTTTCAGAATGTATGGCGTGAAATGGACTACCACCTAGTTGTTGTCGGACTGACCAAGGGAAGCACATAGAAAATCTGAGACACATGTGTACAAAATGTTGAAGCTCCTGTGTAAATTTTATCGATAAATTCTTTTTCATTAAATAGTCATAGACGTTTGTAATAGCTATATTCATTTTGAATAAGCTGTACTTTGTGCAGCAAAGCAAACTATAACGTAAAGCAAAAACGTGGTAAAAAAAATCGCGGAAAGCGCACTTAAAATTGCAATAACTTTCGAACAAAGTAAAATTTAAAAAAAAACTCCGTATTAAGTTTATAAACAAATATGGTCCTTTTAGTACACTAATCAGTAGTTGCATTCCTGAGGCCTATAGAGCGGTCAGTATGGTATTTTTTATGTCACGTTTGCAGTTCAGAGAACTAATTATCAGAAGTTAAATTTTTTCATTTCACTGTACTTCCTGTATATTACATTGGTACTTTTCCGTTAGGCGGGAGAAAATGTCGCCAATTGTGAACCAAACGCAAGCCAAGTCGATAAGCGAAGCGTATGACAAAACAGTCAACGGAATAAAAGTCGAAAATGTTCAACTATAAACAAATATTCCTTAATAGTAATTAATATCATTAATATTAATGATATATAATAGTAATTAATATATATAATAGTAATTAACAGTAATTAATAGTAAGAAAGAAAGGAAAACGTGCTTTGTTTTGAATGAATTCAGAGAACAGAGCACGTGGCCCCAAACCAGCATTTCACTTACGGTTGTAAGAAATTTGGCGGAATTCAACATTATTTGGCAATTTTCCGCTTGCCACCGACTATTGGAAAAATACCATTACATTAAATATATTACATATTATCGTAATTTAAAGTTTCTAAGTCTTATAGTTTTTAAACAGCAAAACAAAATGTAACCTTAAGTTGTATACCAAAATCAGCTGAGGCAGTGTTAGTCAGAATTTTTAATGTAGACAGAGTGCAATATATCTAATTTATTATTTTAATTATCTACTACTAAAAATGCGTTTACCATAAACATTAAACTCTATATTTTTTTAACTAACTACTGCTAAAAATGTCTTTAACATTAAACTGGATACTATAATATATTAAATTTATTATTTTAAAACTAAGTACTGCCAGAGGCGTCTATATTACAACATGAATTTTTAACACAAAAATGTATTATCTGAGTTAACTACTGCTGGAACTGTCTTCTTAAATTGCAAACAAAGTAGCAAAATAATGTTTCTAAACTATTTTTTCTTTGTTCAAACTCTTGTTTTGGAATAAATCAATCTGGGAAAAAATGTGTTCAGTTCATATTCTCTTTTCTTTTTTCTAAAGTAAAGCTTTATAGAAATATTGGAATAGCTGGTATAAAGATGTATGTTGTCAAAGGCATCTGTGTTGGTGTTGTCTTGTCTCGTTATAAAATAAGTAAATGACATCCAGCAAAAGGCGAGAAATGATGATAAAAAAAAAGAACAAATATGGCCTAAAAAGAATGTTGTGGAATGATAGCTCACGCTTCACTTCTCCCTAAGCAAGAAACATTCTTTCTATATCCTTGGAGATTTAGTTATGGACGTAATGTTCTGGTTTTATGAGCTTCCCTCCGTACTTGCTCTTCTTCTTGTTCTTAAAGATCCAGTCGGTTTATGAAGTAAATTAGAAGAAGTGAGAGTGCTTTTGTTAGGAATATTTTTTTATCGTCTGCTTTTCTTAGAAAAAAATGAAATTGCCACTCAATAAATATAAACTGTTGTTAATAAAGTTGTCTCACGTAAAGAACTTCGCTTTTAATGTTTTCCTTTCTGTGTCATTTTTTAAAAACATTTGCGTTTAATTAGTCTCTTTGGAAATAAAAAAGATTAGATTAATTAATTATTATTAGCGGTGAATGGAGTAAATAATGTGAGAGAAATTAAATAATTTATAATTTAAAAAAAGAACGCAAGAGCACATTAATTTCGTCATCATTGTCTTTTGGACAAGCAGACGATTTTTGCGTAACATCCAAACAAAAGTCAAGTCAGCATATTTAAAACGGAAAGAATATTGCAGATAGTTTTTATTGGTCGTAAATCTTGCTATTCTGCGTGTCTACTACCATAGTATTTTAGTTATTTCAGTTTAATTTGTCTCTTTGACAATGGAGAAGATTAGATTAATTATTTATTTTTAGAGAAGTAAATAAATAACGTGACAGATATCGAATATTTTATAATTGAAAAAGAACACTAGAGTACATTAATTTTGTCATCATTGTCTTTTGGACAAGCAGATGATTTTTGTGTAGATTCACACAAAAGTCATGTCAGAATATTCAGAAAGGAAGCAATATTGCAGAAATTTTTTTTGGTTGCAAATCTTGCAATTTTGTGTGTTTATTACCGTAAGTATTAGATCTATTTCAAAATCGGATTGAACGTATATGGAAATTCTATGATTTTGAAAAATAATTACTCTATTAGTGTAAAAGGTTTTCATGATAACCTCAAGTATGATTTTAAAATAACTTCGATACAACGGAATTAGGCAGACTGTATGGAAATTTAATTAATCCCCATACCATTCAACATTAAACTTTTTCGAGTCAATTAATGACTGAAATGAAATTCGTATTCCACATCCAAATTATTCCTCACACCATTCTTTCATTATTAAACTTTTTTGACTCAATTAATGACTGAAATTCTTCATCCACATCTAAATTAATCCTCACTCCATTCTTTCAACAGAAAACTTTTTCGACTCAATTACTGACCGAAATTCTTATTCCATATCCAAATTAATCCTCATACCATTCTTTCAACATTAAACTTTTTCGAGTCAATTATTGACTAAAATTCTTCATCCATATCTAAATTAATCCTCACACCATTCTTTCAACATAAAACATTAATTGAGTCAATTAATGACTAAAATTCGTATCCCACATCTAAACTAATCCTCACACCATTCTTTCAACATAAAACTTTTTAGAGTCAATTAATGACTAAAATTCTTCATCTACATCTAAAAATCAATAACAGAATTGGCAGAATATAGTATAGATAAAGCTGTTAAGTAACTGTACTCGATGTTTCGAAAGACTCCGATAAAACTGCACCATCTAGGTACGCTGTAATCTTTAATTTCTTTCAAGTTGATAATGAAATTTTACATTTTAGATTAATGTTTTTCAAATCGTGAACTAAAGAATTTATTTTATTTACAGCAATTGATGCCAGTTTGGACAGACTTCAGATGGATTATGTTGACATAGTTTATATTAACAGGACTGACCCAATGTGTCCGATCGAAGGTATATATACTATGTGTTTCCTATTTATCCTATGTAGTTTTTGGTGAATCAATAAGATTGTTATAGGCGCTAGAGTTAATTTGGTTCTATAATCCTCTAAAATCATTTCAAACCAAAATAAAGTATTTCTGAAATAGACTAATTTCAATAATTTAGAAAAACGTTGTTGAAAACTAGTAAAATATGATATTGATTAATTTCAAGAAGTTTAAAACTCAATTTAGCCAGAAAAAAACAACTTCTTAGTCTTTTTGGTCAAATAATGCTTCGTCGAGGTATAGGTATTACGCTTATCTTCGGTCATTGAAAATAACTTGAAATCCTGTTTTTTTTTTTTTTTTTTTTTTTTTTTAAATAATCGAAAATAAATTTAAATAATGATAAATTTCTATAGAATGGGTGAATTTTATAGAAAAATACTTATTTATGGATTGTTTATTTAAGGCAGATCTGAACTAGATCGTGTTGCAGTAAAATATACCTGCTTCTTTTCGCAACCATGTCTACCCCCCCCCCATATGAATGACGCATGCCTATAGAATGTTTCCATTAGTTTACCACATGCCTATGGTACTTCCCTCTAATCTATCTATAGGGCTAGGGTGTCTCATCGTATATTATTTGTACTGTATTTCATTTTACTCCTTTTTATTATTAACTAAAGGAACTTGCGTTTATCTTTTTCAGAGGTTGTGCGTGCGTGTACACATGCCATCAACCATAGTAAAGCTATGTATTGGGGTACTTCAAGATGGACCATGATGGAAATAATGGTTTGTACTTATATGTCCACTTTCACATAGGATAAGCAACTTATCCATTGCTAACATGATAAATTATTAATCCCAAAATTACACTTAATCGGCCTTTTTGACACTTTTATTACCACTATCTTATAAATGATATCCTTGACGCTTATAACAATCAACTTGATCATTCAAGTACTGTTCTGATATAAATACCCGAAATAGTACCGAGTGTATTGTACTCTTTACCTACGACAGCACAGCAAATTGGTTAACATGACAGCATCGCGCCTATAGTGATAGAAGTATAAAACTTGGTCTAAAGTGAAAAACATGATTAAAGCATAAATCACGTATAGAATTGTACTTGGTTTCTGTCCCTGAAGTACAAAAAAGTCTATTTCTGTACTTGTTTTGTCCTTTAATAACGTTATTTTCACTTTAGTCTACGTAGCATGATGTATTATACCATATCCTTATGGATGAAACTCAGTAAACATATACCCCACATATGAAGCTTTAATTTATTTAAAGCTTTATAATTTGGTCTCTATAATAGTTAAATCTTTAATTAGCTTTAATTTAGTCTAAAGTGAATAACGTGATTAAAGCACAAAACAAGTACAGAATTGTGCTTGACTTCTGCACTTGAAGTACAAAAATATTGATTTCTGTACTTGATTCGAGACTCAATCACGTTACTTTCACTTTTATCTACGTACCACGATGACACCTATCCTTATGAATAAAACTTGATATACATAAACCATAGCTTTAATTTTGAATGGGAGGCCATCTCAGATTTTTAACCAATAACAATAATGGAGGACGCTTAAAATGGTGGACTTTTAAAATTTTTAATGTTCTGTTTTTTTTCGTTTTTTTTTTTTTTTTGAAATTATATCAATTAAAAAAATTACTAAATTTGATATTTTTTGCTCATGCAGTTTTCTATTTTAATCAATACATGCCACTTGGGGGTAATCTATGCCACTTGCGCGCTTCGCTTACCAACTCGTTATTACTTCTTGATCATTTAATTTTGGTTTTTTAACTGTAAACAGATTCTTACTTTAAAAGTAATAATGTTTTATAGTATATGCCATATTCCATATTTATTTAAATCAAATTTTTTGGATCAATTAAAGGTATGGCTTAATTATTGGGAAATTATTTACACTTATCTTATAATACAGTTTTGTACTACTAGATAGTCTGTATTACATTGAATGTTTAAACACATTATGTACTAGGTTTACATAATAAATTAAATTCAAACTTTGAGACCAACGAGTGCAACCACTAAGAGCAGTACACTGAAGGAGAGCCTTCTTACAACGAGCGATTAAACTGCAAAGTGGCTGGTTCACGCTATTGGTCGAAAATGACATCACTACGTGAGTACTCCTGGCGTTGACGCGAATTTGGAAAATTTCTGAAAATTTTGGCTTTGAACAAGTCACTTTTTTGATTTTCTTTATTTCTATTTAATAATTTATAATTGATTTCATTGCAGTTTCAAGATAAATAACTACATTGTTTTCAAATGTGTTTTTAGTTTAATATTTCAAAACATTTAATTTCAATAAAAGAAATGGCTGTTCAATAGAAAAAAAACTATGCAATTTACTGATTTTTAGAAAGGCACAGATGGCAAAAAAAACATAATAACAGTGCTGCTTAGATTAAGTTTTTATGTAAGACCTGATAGGTTATAAATTTAAATACTGCGACTGTAAACAGTATTTTGCTTGGTTCTGTTACAAATGTTATAAGGTATAATGAATACGACAAAATACATTTTTCTTTTAATTATTAAAATGATTCAAAGTAAAAATACTATTTACAATTTGCTATATTTAGAGATAATTTCTATTAGAGTCAAAGTCATGAAAATAAAATTTAATACTGATATTACGTAAACATTTCTAAGAATCAAATAAATCTGGAGCACACGTGTAAACGAAATCTGTAGTTAAAGTAAAGTAACCACCAGCCGATACGTACCATCTTCCTTCCCACACGTAGTGATGTCATATTTGACCAATAGCGTGATCCGGCCACTTTGAAATTTAATCGCTCGTTTCTTACATTGACACTAAGGTGCGCAATCTTTCCTGAAGTCACATAGTTAAAGTTCCCTGTATGCCTCTGGAAGGATTGTCCAAGATATTTTCTATCCACCTCCAGCTTTCTTTTTACAACCTCAATCACCTGAGGATATTAGCACTGGCGTTGGGACCATCGTTTGAGTCCAGCAGTAGTCCTCTTGAATAACAACTCTGAAGGAAAGCATCTTGCAAAGTAGGCAATTTGATAGTGGATGCACCCTTCTGGGTAAATAGGTTTTTTCTTGCATCATTCACACATTCAGCTCTGATAGACCGGTCTTGTATCAAAACTATAAAACTCTCCAATAGTTCAACATTTCTTGCACAATTTTCTGAGTTGGTCTAACAACCAATAGACAAAAAATAAGTGATATCTTGATATCTATTCCAAGTGTTCCATGTAGCCTTTTTCTCTCTTAGCCCAAAGAAAGAGTGTCACATCAATACCTCCTAGAAGAGAAAAGACCTCAGCACGGGTTACCATAAATAAGAAATTTGATCCTTTAGTAGTTCAGACGTACTGACATCTTTTGTATTTTCTCCACACGACGCAGCTCAGTATCCCGAACATAGTGACATCTTTTTTATTAACCTTCACTGCGCAGTTTATGTTCGTTATGTCGGACTACGAAACTAATCCACGCCTTCTCTCTTCTTGAAGGTGTTGGCCACACCCAGTTATTACGTGAAAGATTTTAGTATTGGAGGCATTAGAAATAACATTTTTCTTTTGCTGCTTTGGTTAAGTTCCAGTTTGTTACAAGTTTCTCTTCCAGTTTTTTACCAAGAGCGTGAAGAACGGTTAATAGGGTTTTCCCCCTAACACACACAATTTTTTTCCTCTTTACAAAAGGTCCGTTTTCTTCCTTCAAACTTTAACTCGCATTTATGAATATTAAAGACTGCATAACTTATTATTATAATTGGTTGTTAAAAACTAATTAAAATATATTCTCCGCGCTATTAGATGGGTATTTCATTTTGAAAACATATGTTTGAGTACAAGCTTTTTAAGGAAAAAAAACTTCGCCAAAATTAAACGGGATTTGTATTAGGAAAACTTAAATATTCTAATAGCCATGTTAACTGGCTGTCTGCAGTAAACTGGAGAGTGAGCTATCTCGTTTTTAAAGACAGATGTGTTGGGCATTATATTATTTGGCGTTGTATTTGGCTTTATTCTATTCCGATACTCTTAAATCTTTCAGGAAGCTTACTCAGTTGCCAGACAATGCCACTTGATTCCCCCGTCCGCAGAACAAACAGAATATCATATGTTCCAACGAGAGAAAGTAGAAATTCATCTACCAGAGCTCTTTCATAAAATAGGTAAGTTGGAGTATACAATTTTTTTTCATAAATTATTGCGGATCATCTCTTCTGTCGTGGTCAAATGAATGTATCATGTGTCTTTGGCCCTGCTCGCTTTGCTTACCAACCCCCACCGTTGCTTCGCTATCATTTTTGTTTCTTTAAACAAATAGTAATAAAATTATAAAAAATTAAAATTACTCATTGAAAGATCCTAAAATTTTTTTATTGTATTTACACAGATTTGGTTTCACAAATTTAGTTTGAAAAATTTTGCCTGGTGGCCATTGCGACTGCATCTACTAACTTTTTTTCGAAAATTTTCTTTAAATTTTAATTATAATAAGAAAGAAAAAAATATTCATTAAAAAAAAAGAAAGAAATATATATTATTTAGCAATATAATAAAAAATTCGTTCTATTATATTTACCTTTGGAATTTTTAATAGTTATTATGTATTCACTATTATAATTGCATTTTAAAAGTAAATGTAACTTAGAAAAAAATATGACTTATTCTCCATTTAATTTTTTTAGACGTTGACGAAATATCTTTATCATAAAAATATATGCGCTAATTTTATAATAAATGATAAATTAAAACCTTTCATTTTGATTTATAATCAAAACCAAAAATATATAAACCAACCTTTCATTTTGATTTATGTATTTAAAAAGGATGATAAATATAACTGTGATAAATGTTATTAAATAAGGGATAAATATATAATTTACACGTAAGTTCTATTGTACTAATTTTATGCTGATGGCAGCCAAAGATATCTGAATCTTCATTAAATGTATATTGAAGGTCATGTGATTTTTCTGAGCAAATGAGTATGCACATCAAAACATTTGTATGTCTAATTAGATTATCATTATTCTTTAAAGTTATTCGGCTCAAAAATATATTAAATTGAATACTTTATATTCTTAGTAAACTTTTAGTTTATTCTCTTATGCTATTTTGAGCTAGTACCACAAAAGAACTCTTTGTTTAAACTGTTTTTTCACTATCATTAGAAACTTCATCAAATGCATGTCCAAAAAAAAGGCAATTGTATAAATGTATTTATTCGGAATGAAAAAGTGGGAAGCATTTTGAAAACTATTTATTCATATCATAACACCAGAACAAAAGTTTTATATATTTCCTTATGGGCATAGCTGAGGTATAACCCTCTTTAGCTTTCTCGAATTTTTAAGAAAACTATTTTTGTTTATGTTCATAAATGAAGATAGTCTTTTTAGCTTCGAATTTTTTTGAAAGATAATCTGAATTTTTAAATCATTTATTGAATTTTTAAAAAAAGAAGCTGGAAAAATATTTGAAAATATCTCTTACACGATTAAAAACTGCAATAGTCAATCAGTTAATGGTACAAATTCTTTTCAATATTTTTTTAAAAATTATTTCACATGAAATATCCTCTTATTGAATAAAATAAGAAGCCGGAATTTTAAGAAAAAAGGCCGGAGCAATATTTGCTGAAATCTCTTACCCGATTCAAAACTTCAATAGTCAATGAGTTAATGGTACAAATTCTTTTATAATTTTTTTTAAATTATTGCGAATGAAATATCCTCTTCTTGAATAAGATAAGAAGACGGAATTTTAAGCGAAGTCAGAAAAATATTTTCAAATATCACTTACAGGATTAAAAACTACAATAGCTAATAAGTTAATGGTACAAATTCTTCTGTAATATTTTTAAAATTATTTCGTCTGAAATATCCTCCTCTTGAATAAGATAAGAAGTCGGAATGTTAAGTTAAGAAGTCAGAAAATATTTTCAAATATCTCTTGCCCGATTAAAAACTGCAATAGCTAATAAGTTAATGATACAAATTCTTTTGTAATATTTTTAAAATTATTTCGTCTGAAATATCCTCTTCTTGAATAAGATAAGAAGACGGAATTCTAAGTTAAGTCAGAAAAATATTTTCAAATATCTCTTACAGGATTAAAAACTACAATAGCTAATAAGTTAATGGTACAAATTCTTTTGTAATATTTTTAAAATTATTTCGTATGAAATATTCTCTTCTTGAATAAGATAAGAAATCGGAATGTTAAGTTAAGAAGTCAGAAAAATATTTTCGAATTTCTCTTACCCGATTAAAAACTGCAATAGCTAATAAGTTAATGATACAAATTCTTTTGTAATATTTTTTTTAATTATATTTCGTATGAAACATTCTCTTCTTGAATAAAATAAGAAGCCGGAATTTTAAGAAAAAAGGCCGGAACAATATTTGCTAAAATCTCTTACACGATTCAAAACTGCTACAGTCAATGCAATAGTTAATGGTACAAATTCTTTTGCTATATTTTTTTTTAATTTTTTCGTATGAAATATCCTCTTCTTGAAAAAGATAAGAAGTCGGAATTTAGAATATTTTCAACTAACTCTTTCTTACACGATTAAAAACTGCAATAGCCAATGAGTTAATGGTACAAATTCTGATGTAATATTTCCTTAAATAATATGGTATGAAATATCCTCTTCCTGATCACAAAACTAAACCTCGTTTCGGAATTCTAAGCAGACAGCTAGTGTGCGACCTACATAAATAAGAAAGTACTTTAACTTCCAATGGAAAATTCGAAGAACTTTATTCGACTGTAAACACTGAGCAAAGTTAAGGAAATGACTGTCGTGTTAACCTAAGTAAAATCTAGAAGTTTGACTGGATTGTCGTTTCGATTGCAGCTCTATCTAATTAGCTCGAAAGTTTTCTGTCCTTCATTTCGAAAATTAACTTAGGGGTGTGGAATTTATCTTTTCCGCAATTTTGAGAAGTGCCAATTTTTAAAAGTAATTTTCACCTTAAATGTTTTTGAAGTTAAAGCTAAGTCAGTATTGTGTTATCTATCAATAGATTAAAAAACTTCGTGTCTGATGTTTTCTAAGTTAAAACTAAATCGGTTGTATGTTTTCTATCAGAATAAAAGTAGTTTTAATGTTTTTATTTTTTTTGTTTAAGACTAAATCAGTATCAGCTTATATATCGGTTTATTGAAAGTTATGGTGTATTATGTTTTTCAGGTTAAAACTACATCAGTTGTATGTTATCTATCGGAATAAAAATATCTTTAGCGTTTTTAGCTTTCGAAGTTTAAATTAAATTAGTTTCATGTTATCTATCAGTTTATTGAAAGTTATAATGTTTTCCGTGTTAAAACTACATCAGTTGTATGTTATTTATCGAAATAAAAATATCTTTAGTGTTTTTAGCTTTCGAAGTTTAAATTAAATTAGTTTCATGTTATCTATCAGTTTATTGAAAAGTATAATGTTTTCCGTGTTAAAACTACATCAGTTGTATGTTATCTATCGGAATGAAAATATCTTTAGTGTTTTTAGCTTTCGAAGTTTAAATTAAATTAGTTTCATGTTATCTATCAATTTATTGAAAGTTATGGTGTATTATGTTTTGCATGTTAAAACTACATCAGTTGTATGTTATCTATCAGAATAAAAATATCTTTAGTGTTTTTAGCTTTCGAAGTTTAAATTAAATTAGTTTCATGTCATCGATCAGTTTATTAAAAGTTTTCGTGTTTAATGTTTTCAAAGTTAAAACTAAATCAGTAGTAGGTTATCTATCATAATAAAAATAGGTTTTAATGTTTTCAGTTATCGAAATTAAAATTAAATCCGTATGATGTTAACTATCAGTATATTAAAACTTTTCGTATTCCATGTTGCCGAAGTTAAAATTAAATCAATAGTAAGTTATCTATCAGAATGAAATTGGCTTTAACTTTTTAAGTTTTCGAAGTTCAACTAAATTAGTATCATATTATCTAGCAATATATTAAAGATTATCCCGGCTTATACTTTCGAAGTTAAAAGTAAACCAGTTGTGTGTTAACTATCAGAGTGTTGAAAAAGTGGCTAAAATCAGTATAAAGTTATCCATTAGTATTTCAAAAGTAAGTTACATGGTTTATATTTTCCAGGTAAAATCTAAATTACTAGTATATTATCTATCAGGTGTTACAAACTTTTTAGATCTTTGGTTTTAACTAAATCAATGTTATATTTTTGATCGGTTTTATTAATAGTTGTTGTCATGTTTTACGTTTTCAAAGTTAAAGCTGAATCGCGTGCAGTGGTTGAGCAAAACTAATGGCAATACCAACACTAAAGACAATACTAAACCTGTGTAAACAATTTTTATTTTAGCTGCTATTGTTTTGGAAAATTTTAAATTGCACAGTTTTTGACACAGTTTAAAAGATCATGCTTGAAGCTTTTAGAAATTGTGTTCTTTTTACCCATGCAAAATTTTCATCGACCCAAATGAACGTAGGAAGTAAAAAGATTTTATTCTTTTTTTCTCTACCACTATAATTAAAAAAGCCTTATAATGCAAATATTGCAATACTATAAAATGACTTCAAAGTTGCTGGTATTAAAACTAAAAAGAAGCTCTTAACTTCTCTCGTCATATTAGACAATTCAAATTTTGTAAAGTAAAAATGACGTCATGTCAAAATAAATCCTGAATAACTTTTGGTCTAATGATCGCATCTGCACGTAATGGCTCGAGAGGGTAACCTTAATTGAATTTCAAAAATGAAATTGGAGAAATTCAAAAGAGTCAGATATTTAAAATTCGATTTGTCAGGAACCATTCGACCGAATTTGCTCAAATTTTAATTTTTGCCATATAAAATTATATTCTTCAAAATGATGCAAAAAATTGTACACCTAACAATTCAAAAATGTTTTGATCATTTTTAAATAAAATAATAAGAAAACAATAAATATTTACTAAAAGTTATTTTTTGCATGGAATTGTCTTTGGAAAAATGAATTTTATAATTGCGTGCAAAAATTTTTCAATTCACGGAAAGAGTTCTCCAGATATAGCAAATTACACAAAAAGTAACATTAACTGATGCAAACTTTGAATCGTTTTCTTGACCAAACTATTGGGACCATATTTCCCAGATTAAGGCGACTCCCTATAAATCTGAATCCGTTCAAAAAAAGTCATGTTTATTCAGAAAAAGTACGTTTTTAAGTCTAATTTAGTAGCTTAAAATATCGCCTGCACTTATTAATTAGCATATATTGCATCACTCTCTCGGGACATTAAGATTGAGTTTACGAACGTAAAGATTCGATCGTTAAAACAAAAGTTATTCCGGGTGATCTGTTTTGTTTTGTTTTTTTTTTTGTTTTTTTTTGGCTCACTGTAAATTATAAAATGAAAATAATATTAATTTTCTAATAGTAACTGAAAATTTCCTGCTTTTATAATTTTTAAATTACTTTTAAAATATTTATTACATTTAAATAAATAAAAAAAATATTGCTAATATTTTTAATAAAAAATAATAAAAATTAAATTAAATATTTCTAATACAATCTTTTTTATCTTTCCCTCTTTCAATATTTCAGTTTTAATTATTTTCACTCCAGTTTCAAAAATTTTTTTTAAATTTCATACGCTTATATTAAAAGGATTTATCTTAAAAACACGCTTTTTTTTAACTTTAATTTAAATATAAATCTACTTTTTCAAAGAATTCTCACATAAATGATTTTAAATAATTACATATCAGAAAAATAAATATTTAAATATTAAACGTAAGTTTAACGTTTTTTGTGAATTTAAATGTAAAAATCAGTGTAGAAACAAGATGACCATTAAAAAATGAACTTAATACAGAAACAAACATCAAATCTATCTCATTCTGAATCAAACTTAAGAACGTTTTTAAAAAAATTTGTGAACTACAATTTTAAAATATTTCATTTAAATTTAATTCAATCCTTTATTACAATAATTTATTCAATGCAATTAATTTCTTATCTATTTTACTCAAAAATTACTTTTACGTATTACAATGATTCTTATATGAGCCTACTCCANGTCCAAAGCAGGTTATCATAATAAAAATAGCTTTAATGTTTTCAGTTATCGAAATTAAAATTAAATCCGTATCATGTTAACTATCAGTATATTAAAACTTTTCGTATTTCATGTTGCCGAAGTTAAAACTAAATCAATAGTAAGTTATCTATCAGAATGAAATTAGCTTTAACGTTTTAAATTTTCGAAGTTCTAACTAAATTAGTATCATATTATCTAGCAGTATATTAAAGATTATCCCGGCTTATATTTTCGAAGTTAAAAGTAAACCAGTTGTATGTTAACTATCAGAGTGTTGAAAAAGTGGCTAAAAATGAGTATAAAGTTATCCATTAGTATTTCAAAAGTAAGTTGCATGGTTTATGTTTTCCAGGTAAAATCTAAGTTTGAATCTTTTTTTCTCTACCACTATAATTAAAAAAGCCTTATAATACTAATATTGCAATGCTGTAAAATGACTTCAAAATTGCTGGTATTAAAACTAAAAAAAAGCTCTTAACTTCTCTCGTCATTTTAGACAATCCAAATTTTGTTAAGTAAAAAGGGCATCATGTAAAAATGAATCCTGAATAACTTTTGATCTAACGATCGCATCTGCACGTTCTAAGACTCATTCATAATGCCTCGAGAGGGTAACCTTAATTGAATTTCAAAAATGAAATAGGAGAAATTGAAATCAAAAAAGTCAGATATCTAAAATTTGATTTGTCTGGAACTATTCGACCGAATTTGCTGAAATTTTAATTTTTGCCTAAAAAAAAATATTTTTCCAAATGAAGCAAAAAATTGTACACCTTACAATTCAAAAATGTTTCAACCATTTTTAAATAAAATAATAAGAAAACAATAAATATTTACTAAAAGTTATTTTTTGCATGGAATTGTCTTTGAAAAAATGAATTTTATAATTGCGTGCAAAAATTTTTCAATTCGCAGAAAGAGTTCTCGAGATATAGCAAATTACACAAAAAGTAACATTAAGGGATGCAAACTTTGAATCGTTTCCTTGACCAAACTATTGGGACCATATTTCCCAGATTAAGGCGACTCCCTATAAATCTGAATCCGTCAAAAAAAGTCATGTTTATTCAGAGAAAGTACGTTTTTAAGTCTAATTTAGTAGCTTTAAATATCGCCTGCACTTATTAATTAGCATATTTGAGGTCACTCTCTCGAGACATTAAGATTGAGTTTACGAACGTAAAGATTCAATCATTAGAACAAAAGTTATTCAGGGTGATCTGTTTTTTTTTCGGCTCACTGTACATTATAAAAGGAAAATAATATTAATTTTCTAATAGTAACTGAAAATTTCCTGCTTTTATAATTTTTAAATTACTTTTAAAATATTTATTACATTTAAATAAATAAAAAAATATTGCTAATATTTTAATAAAAAATAATAAAAATTAAATAAAATATTTCTAATACTATCTTTCTTATCTTTCCCTCTTTTAATATTTCAGCTTTAATTATTTTCACTCCAGTTTTAAAAAAAAAATTTAATTTCATACGCTTATATTAAAAGGATTTATCTTAAAAGCACACTTTTTTTAACTTTAATTTAAATATAAATCTACTTTTTCAAAGAATTCTCACATAAATGATTTTAGGTAATTACATATCAGAAAAATAAATATTTAAATATTAAACATAAGTTTAACGTTTTTTGTGAATTTAAATGTAAAAATCAATGTAGAAACAAGATGACCATTAAAAAATGAGCTTAATCCAGAAACAAACATCAAATCTGTCTCATTCGGAATCAAACTTAGAACGCTTTTAAAAAAAATTTGTGAACTACAATTTCAAAATATTTCATTTAAATTTAATTCAATCCTTTATTACAATAATTTATTCAATACAATTAATTTCTTGATCTTTTTTACTCAAAAATTACTTTTACGTATTACAATGATTCTTATATGAGCCGACTCCAGAGGATAAAGTGTAGCACTCTAAATTTATAAATATAAGAATTTATAAATCAATAAAAATATATTTATAGTATGTATATAAATTATGCATAATTTATCTTTTCTTTACTGAAATAAGCCATGCTGAAAACAACGTAAATCACATAGAAACTGTTTCACTAATACACAGAATTAATCATTCTGTAATTTTGTACTCCGTTTTACGAGGTTATTTGTAAAACTGCAAACCTTTAACTATTTTATTTGTAATCTTTAGCAATGTTAACATAATACAAAATATTACTTTGACATGATTTGCTGATACATAAAGCTTCACTAATTCATTAACTTTGGCACCTCGCATTAATTTTAAAAAATTGACAGTCAATTCTGATGCTCCGTTTGTACCTCATTAGTTGCTACATTTGAATGCATTTGTACCGAATATGGATACTGACGATTTTATGATTTTGTATGAACATATTTCAGAAATTTCACAGTAATATGCTTTCATTTCAAACACATATACTTACCACACATTTCTTTCTTAACCCGTTAAGTCCAAAATCTATAAATTGAAATCATATAAAAAGTGGTTTTATGGAAAAAGTAGTATAATATATTATCGAAATTAATTGTTTTTTCCTGTTAGAGCATTCAAAAAGTCTTGGATAGATAGGAAAGTACTTGCTCCTTATAATTCTATATTTAATCAGAAATCATTGTGGTATCTGTGAATCTTTTAATTCACCCGGATAAATGAAAATCCTGAAAAAAATTTCCCACCACAATGAATGTCTTTGAAAAAAAGGAACTGTCCTAAATATATGACGCTAGGCGTTAACCGGTTAAGTCTGTATCAAATTAGTTTCAAAAATCCCGGGGATCACGTGACGCCCCATTTTATAAAAACTCTCTCATCAGTAATTGCATATAACTATCTTCCAACTAATAAATCGTGAATTCCTTCATAGTATGATTTTGGAGCCTTAGTGGCTCAGAGGATAGAGCGTTCGCCTTACAATGTGATACCCCGGGTTCGAATCCTTGCGATGGCTGGTCAATACGAAATCCACACCCGACTCGTACTGACCACAGTGCTGACGTAAAATATCATTGGTAAACAGATCATGGGTTAGAGTCCCCTTCCCGTAGGGCTAGCCATGTGAGATTTTCTTGGTTTTCCTCTCCATGTAACGTGAATGCTTGTTAGTTCCATCAAAAAGTCCTCCACGAAGGAAAATTTCTCCCCAATACTTGATCCAGGAGTTCCCTCGTCTTCTGGATTGGGTTCAAAATTACAAGGCTACGGAGATCTTAGCAAGACCCAAAAATTGGGTCAACTGTTCATTGACTGTTATAAAATAGTGTGATTTTACTGGTGTTGATCTATTAAACTGCATCGGAAGTTATTTATAACTAGACATACTTAAATGTAGCAACTGATTCAGGACAAAATTTTCGACCTAAATGTAACAACTAATTTGAGTCGGAAGTAGTATTCTATAATGAGAACTTTTTCAGGTACCGGTACAATCACGTGGTCTCCTCAAGCCTTCGGACTCTTGACGGGCAAATTTGACGAAGGAGTCCAACTTCTATCGAGGGGATCATTGAAAGTAAGTTTCAATGCCATTTCTTCTTAGTAATTAAGAATGCTTGTGAAAATAAATATATTTCTATTTGCAAACTGCTTTTACCTCTATTTTTGAATTTCTTCGAAAATCCTCAACAAACAAAGAATAAATTTCAGTTACGTAATTACTAAAGCATCAAAACATTGTTTAGTCGTCCAAAGCATTCAATGAAGAAACTATTGCTTCTAACAGTTAGTTGGACTTTCCAAATATTGAATTTTTAGCACCCATATAATTATTATGCCAACTCTTCCGGGTTAACTCCATGATTTCATGTTTAAAGCTATCGGAAAATGCGGACTTTGATATTTCACTCCTAGAAACAAAAAGTCGAAAATCGAATTTATTGAACAAAGATTTATACTTTAAAAAACTACCACTTCAATATATTTATTTGCATTCCGGAGCAACTAGCTCGTTCGTTTGTTCGTTGTTGTAGAACTGGGCATCTGAGGCCTAAATGGCCCTATCGGAGCAACTACAGATATGCCAACTTGCTCCGGACAGCAAATTAATATTTTAAAATGGAAGTTTAAATTGTGATTCATTGTTAAATGAATTCAATTTAGTAGATTTTTATCCACCACTATTTCTAAATAATTCGTAGGCTTTTATAATTCACCGCTTTATATGAATGGGCTGAAGCCATTTAATTGGCTGGTACTCAGATAACCATTACATAAAGGTAGATAGGTAGTACTCATATCATGCGATACCTTTTATTAAGCAAGCAAAAATGGTCAAATATTTGCAAAATTTACTTTGTAGTTATTTACCATTTTTTTAATTATTTTGGCGTGTCCGGAGCAGTTGGCATCTCTGAAAAGTGGTATATATATGAATGATGCTTATATAAAAAAGTGGTAGTATTTATTTATTTTTTAAAAAAAAGCAAATATATCTTTCTAGTACTTATCACTTTAACTTTAATAAAAACACTATGCATTGACTTAAGATTAAAAAATAAGAATTTAAATTATTAATATATTTTTATAGCTAGAGCTATCTTGCTTATACGAAATAAATCTTAATAATGTAAGTCCCAGTGCTAGCCATCCTTGAATAATTAGCGAGATTATAAATAAATAAAGGTGAATTCATTTTCTACCACTTTTTATATATTTAGTCACTTGTAGCATCCCTAGGATAGCCTGGTAGGTAATACATTGGGCTCGTGCTCATGAGAATGGGAGTTCGAATCCCGCCGGCCGTGAATTAAGAATCCCTATGTATTAAATGTTTACTGGTGCATGTTAAATCTGATGGGGTCACAAAGTCCTCCATGTTCTCATAACAATTCAATACCTCTGAGTATTGAAGGGGTACTGAGTCGGAGATTGATCGTTCTCTGGTCCAGGTTCAAAATTTACAATCTGTAGATGAATGGAGTATAATTAGGTCCTCCCTGTAAAACGGGATGATGTTGTATTCTTCGCCATAAGTGGCACCACTGAAAAAAATAAAAAACCAACCCTCTGCCTTAAAATTTGGCTTGATTTCAAGCAGACTTGCTGATTAGCAAGAGGCATAAGTAACAACAACATTTCAAATTACTTATATTTAAAGCAAACACACTTTTAAGAGTAAAATGAGAAAAAAAATATGCTAGAAAAAGTATCTAGTTTTAATTTTCCTTAATAAAATTTTGAATTCAATTAGTCACCACTTTTTGTATTTTTAGTCACTCGTTTGCCGTACGTCAATAGAAATCGTAATATTAAGAGATTTGATTATATTAGAGAATTAATATTGAGAGATCTCCTTCATTGTTTATATAAGTGGTTTTTTAACGATAGCAACTTTGTGTCATTATTTTAATGGATCAGGAATATGCAGCAACCTAAATGTATTTTCAATAATTATTTTAAAAGAATAATCGAATATGAAACTATATACAGAGATATCACAAGGGACTAAAATTGTAAGCAGTGGTAAAAAACTCATTTAATAGCACCGTCGTAACTATCATGACATACATTTTAAATTATTTATATTTAACCCTTTGATATAGAAATGATCTTTGATTGCACTGTAAACAACAACTCGCAACGGAATTGCCCACTGCTCCGGCCCAGCCAAAATAATTAAATAACCGCATACCTGCCAACTTTTAATCCTCTCAATGAAATTTAAATTACAATTTAAATGCGAATTAAAACAAAACATTGCATATTAATATATATACTTAATTTTTTAAAAAATAGTGGTGGATCAAAAATATTATAAATTAAGTTTATAAATGCAAGGAATATATTGAAAGCATTTATTTTACTACCACTTTAATTATGGAAATAAAATTTTACGACAAATGCGTAGAAGTTGTCAACTTTCACTCTTTCCGAGAATGGATTTTCAGAGTGGTTGTAAAACAATAATCGAAAAACAATCTGACTCAAAAATATATCTATATTTTGATCCCGTTGAAATTCGCTTGCGCAAGGATTATTATACTTTCATATATTTATTGTAATTATTTATATGTAGTGGTGGTCAAACTCATTTATAATTATCATTTTAATTCAAAAAGTTAATTGGAACAACCAGAGTATTGCTACCACTTTAAATATGGAAATAAAATCTTCGGGAAAAGTTGGCAAATCCAGGTATGTAATCGGTAAATAAATGCAAGCTAAATTTTGCAAATAGTTGACTATTTTTGCTTGCATTTAATTGGTCTAGCATGATCAAACTAAGCTAAGTGGTGAATTATATAAGCGCACGAATTATTTAGAAATAGTGGTGGATAAAAATCTACTAAATTGAATTTATTAAACCAAGAATCACAATTGATAAACTACCACTTTAAAATATTGTATTTGCTGTCCGGAGCAAGTTGGCATCTCTGTGTTGAAGACGTCTGAGACACGTCAAATATTGTTTTGACGTAAGAAACACATGACGTCTTCGTATGTCAAGGAGTTAAAGCAAAAAAAAGAAAAAACATTGCAATTATCAAAAAAAAAAGAAAAAAACATTGCAATAGCAAACTAAAAGAAATATGCTAGAAAGCTCTAATTTTAATATTTTTAATAAAGTTTTGATTTTTAATTATCACCTCTTTTTACATATTTAGTTGCCTGTGGCGTATAGTTATTTATAGACCGTGAAGAATGTAACTTCGATGTTAAAAAAGCAGCAATCAACAAAAAAGTTAATGAAGTTACTATCCACGATGTAAATTTATAACTTAGTTACCATGTTTACGACTGTATTTATAGGGGGAAAAAGTAAACAAAATATTTTTACGAGGTAGTAGCTGTTGACGGATTCACAGAATAAAGAATACAAAATAAATTGCGAATATTTTTCTGTTAAACTAATCTTTTTATCCCAATTCTCCCAATTTGAAATATATACATTACTTCCCGGTACTCATTTTAAAAATTGAACACCATAAAAGCTTTCAAACAAAATTCTTGCGATTTCTCTTTGCCGAGCGAAATTGAATTTTCCGAGAAATCTACGAGAAAATTCGTTTATTTTTAATCAAAAAGCTTTCTGAGAAAAAAAAATTTAAGTTTAGCAAACGGGAAATAATGTATGATTCTTTTCTTAGAATTAGACGCGTTCCACGCATATGATATGACAGCGATGTTCTTCTTGGAATTTCTAAGAAACAAATGTTCTTTCTGCATATCAAATAACTGATACGAACAGAAACTGAAAAAAAGGATCGTATATTGTTATCCACAAAGCAACAGTCTTTTTTCGTTCAAAAGAAGTTAAATCAAATTGTCCAGAAAACTTAAACACAAAAGAGTATCTTATTGCATTGAAGTCTTAAAATATATATCGCGTAGTAAGGAGTATTATTATTCTATTCGCATAATTTATTGATTCGGAATTTTGTGACTAAGATTACATTTCTGTGAGCTAAATATATCTTTTCGATTTTGTTTTCAAGAAAGAAAAGTCATATTTTTTGGCAAACATAACATATATTTTGGCATAGCTTATTTAGTGATTTCATGATAATAAATATCAGAAAGAGAAAGGTTTTAAATTTGTTATGAATTTCTTCAGAACATTTTTTTTCACGTCTAAATATAAAAATTATTTCATTATGTCATATTTAGCATTTTAGGCATAAAAATTTTCCGTTAATCTGAATAAACCGAAATAACTTATATCATTTCAAAATCAATATAATTTTATTGTAAGAGTACATATGGGGTAAAAAGATGAGATAGAATTATGTGTCCTACTGGGGTTTTATTACCGTCATTAAACAGCAGGTCCAATTTTGAGTTTACGACTACCAACATAGGTTAGAATTTTTTTTATAAATATCAAAATACCAATAAAGGTAACATTCGCGCTTGATAATCCAGAAATTGATTAAGATGTCCATTTAAAAAAGTTTTGCTTTTCTTTGATTCCTTAATAAGTTAAATATTGTATTTCCTTTGATTTCAAAACATGTACCTTTTTAAATAACAAATGTTGATGGTACAATAATAATGTGATTAAATCATAAAATTGATTATTTAGTCTACTGTTACTAATAAAAAAGCAAGTATTTTCAAAAAGGAAAAAATTTTATTCTAAAAATACATATGACATATCAAAAAAGAATATNTGAAGCGGGAGTAGAGTTGGGGGGGGGGGAGGCAAGCACCAAATAGTAGCAGAGATGCGTATCACAAATGCACATAGTATTTCTACATTAACTAAAAAGTGTTTTTTTTTTCTATTCAGGATCCTAAAATTTAAATTGCATAGTAAATTTAAGTCATAAAAAAATATGTAATAAAATTTATTACCACTTTAAATATTAAGAAAATATTTATGTTGAACAAAGTTACGTTTAGCTTTATGCAATTAAATTGTAAAAAGTGGTAGAAAATTCTTTTTTGTTTATTTATTATCTCTTTAATTATTCAATTGTAACTACCTTTAATTATTTGATTGTAATTGTACGGCCTAATTTGAAATGTAGTTGACTTACATTTCAAATTAGGCCGGGATAGCTAGGCTGCCAT